CAACAAAAATATTTGATAAATGCAAAATCAATAAAGGCACCTAAATATTTTTATTTTATCTAATTTAACAGTTTTGAGAAAATAATTAAATCAATGACTGAAAGCACAGTTACAGAACATTATCATATTAATAAGCAAACAGTAATTACTTTTTGATATCATGATAAAGCCCACTGTAATTTCAGTATTTGTTCATCAACACTCGCAGTAACGTTACCTGCGCGCGAGCGAACCATCTGCGGGAGCGCCGGAGTGGTTATTTATTTGTATGGTAATGAATTAATTCAACTAACAAAGCGATTACACATATAAATACTTGAACAATATACTCTGCAGTGTCACCTCACAGTTAGCTGAGCAGTAAAATTAATAAACACAATGTGAGAGCATGCTTCAGAGCATGTTGGAACAATCCTAACAGCGTGACTTCTTCTTCTTCTTCTTCTTTGAAAACGTAACTTTACATCGGATGCTCGCTAGCGCCATTCACAGGCTTTGGTAAAAAAAAAAAACTAAAAAAAACATTTGTCACAGATTGTATTGAAGGGCAGTGAGGAAGCAGGATTCAGATGCAGCAGTACCTACTATGTTTATTAAGAAGATTACTGTAGGACAACAAACCATTCACATAAAAACGAATTTAGACAACCAAATGCTAAAACTCTACTACTCTATACTGTAGGACTATAATAGACCAAAGGAGAAAGGAACAAAATACAACAGAATGCAATAATATAAAAAAGAATCACTAAGCAAACAAACACAAAACTAAATGTGACATTATATAAATACATTATGTATTACATCTTATAATAATATGTAGAAACAACATTAGAAATCTGTGAAAATTCATGTAAATTATATGTTGTTATACAATTTCTGATCCTTTCTGGTGTGCAAATTTGTGATTCTTTATTTATTTATTTTTTATGCACTGTTACATTTTGGAAATAAAAATCCACCAAAAAATCACCAAAGCCTGTGTGTCTGTAGTTGCCTGTATGTCACCAAAGCCTGTGAATGGCGCTAGCGAGCATCCGATGTAAAGTCACGTTTTCAAAGAAGAAGAAGTCACGCTGTTAGGATTGTTCCAACGTGCTCTGAAGCGAAATTATAATCTCACATAGTGTTTATTAATTTTACTGCTCAGCTAACTGTGAGGTGACACTGCAGAGTATATTGTTCAAGTGTTTATATGTGTAATCGCTTTGCTAGTTGAATTAATTAGTTACCATACAAATAAATAACCGCTCCCGCGGACGGTTCGCTCACGCGCAGGTAACGCTACTGCGAGTGTGGATGAACAAATACTGAAGTTACAGTGGGCTTTATCATGATATCAAAAAGTAATTACTGTTTGCTTATTAATATGATAATGTTCTGTAACTGTGCTTTCAATCATTTATTTAATTATTTACTCAAAACTGTTAAATTAGATAAAATATAAATATGTATATTTTTTGGTGCTTAGTTATCATTTGCTGTAATACTTTATTGTGTTTCTGAATTGTTTAATGTGAGTTTACTTGTATAAGCCACTTTCCATGTGCAGTTATGCTCAGTAATGTTCTTTAAGTAGTTTTGTTTACTGATATAGTGCATCAATAATAAAATACATTTAACCGAGAATCAGGAATCTGGTTTTGAGTGAAATAAGTATTTATAAATAAATTTGTTAAGCATTTATAACGTGAATTAAAAATGGCTCACTATTTGGCAGGTATTGCATTAAAATCACCCTTTTACTCATGCATTTATAACTGCTTATCAATGATTTATAATGCATTTGTAAGTGAGTTATTAGTCATTTATTAACACCTTTATAAACCCTTTATAAAGGGAACCTTAATGTAAAGTGTTACCAATAAAAATATATACCGTTCAAAAGTTTGGGGTTGTTATGATTTTGTAATGTTTTTGATGTCTCTTATGTTCACCAAAGCTGCATCTATTTGATAAAAAAACACAAAAAAACAGCCATTACTGCAGTCTTCAGTGTCACATGATCCTTCAGAAATCAAACTAATATGCTGGTTTGGTGCTCAAGAAACATTTCTTATTGTTACCAATGTTGAAAACAGTTCTGTTTGATATTTTGTGGACACCGTGACATCTTTCTAACCACAAACTTTTGAACGGTAGTGTATAAACTGCAACTCAACTCATTTCCTTCTTTGAAAACAGATGGTAATGATGACGTTTAAGAACACTCTAAACAAAATGTCGTGCCATGTGGGGAAAAAAAGAAAAAGAAAATCACATCAGCAGCATCTTCCTGCAGCGCGGTTCCCGGGTCCGACTCCTCAGCTTCCACACAGCGTGTGCATTTCATTAACAGAGGGGAGTCTTGTGTCTAACTTATGGTCAATGGCTCAGTAATTATATTAATTAGCCTGAAATCTGCCATGTAAAGAAACCCTGAGGGATACATGAAAGACAGAATCCTGTGTTCTTCATGGCCAACATGTCGTAAGCTCCAACCGCAGTTAGTCAGGCCTTATCTCGTGCTCATAGAGAGGAGCTAATGGTCAAGGCTGGAGGATGAGGGTTTTGTAAAATGGACGGAGCAATTAACGCTTGCCAGTACTCATTATCCTCCATGTCAGTGGGTAGAGGCTGGAGGCCAGGGGGTGGATTAGAGCGAAAATGAAAGGAGAATTAATGGATGCTGCTTTAGATTTCTCTGCAAGTTCTATTAACCCTAATTTAAATCAATTTTCTCCTTTCTGCAATTATGCGCTAATAAAGCTATCTGTCTGACAGTGACTTTGTGTGTCCCAGACGGGTATGTTTGAGATACATTAGCCTGGGCTCATTTTGCTAAGTGCCCCCAAAGCACATAATGCTGTTAGTAAGCGTAGAACTGGTTGCTAGCACCATTGTCCTCTTTGCCCTTTGATACAGGCAGAAACATCTTCCTCATATTTGGTGCTTTGGCACGTCAGTCACATATCAAATATATTCGTAAATTGTTGCCTTTTTACAGTACAGGAAATCCCTGTTAACACCAAGCTGCTTAAAAAGTATATTAGCATCAGTTAACAGCTTTATTTCTCCTGTAGACAGATGATTATGTGCTGAGTTATGTCATCCAGGTTGATTATGTAGAGTCTGAAGTACAATATAATATATTATTGGGTCTGATAGGGACCTAATTAGGAGCAGAATGGTATGGTAACCTATCAGTCAAGGCTAATTACTCTGGCTTTCATGCAAGAGTAATTGGGTTTTTAGTTCAGGGGCTGAGGTTTGAGACACAGGTATGAAGCAACAATTACTGGTGACAGAGATCAGAAGATTTATGGGTTGAAATTCAAGATGGAAAATGATGACATGTGATTCATCAAATTGCTTTAGCAACCCCCACCTCCACCGCACACCACATTCACAGCATTCAGAGATTTGGTTTGTCTGAGAACCCACTGAGCACTGACGCTGTTCAACTGTGCTATTCCTATGTTCATGTATTAGTTGATTAACTTGTGTGAATGGAAATTGTTATTTGTTGAATGTATTAAAGGTGACATATCATGAAAATCTGACTTTTCCAGGTTTTAAGTGCTATAATCAGGTCCCCGGTGCATCTACCAATCCTTCACAGTCATAACCGACTGTTTTTGTAACTTATGCGTGTTTTTTACGTAAACTTGTGTGTGAATGAGAACTTAGTTTAGTACTCACATGCTGTGTGGTGGCCACTTTCTCTGTCCGTGTGCTTCGGATGTGTGCACTCAGAAAACCGTATATCAGAAGTTTAAACTAATATGATTTAAAACACATGATTTCAGCGCGATAAACATGATAATCAGAACCAAAACAGATTGTTTTTAGCAGATACGAGCTGTAATGGCGCAGCTCTATTCTGGAAAAGGGGGTGGGGAGCAGTAAACTAATATGGTTTAAAACGCATGATTTCAGCGCGATAAACATGATGATCAGAACCAAAACAGATGTTTTTTAGCAGGTACGAGCTGTAATGGCGGCAGCTCTATTCTGGAAAAGGGGACGGGGAGCAGCAGCTCATTTGCATTTAAAGAGACAGGCCCGAAATACAGCGTGTTTCCACAACAATAACCAACTGCAGAACCGCAGAACCATTACCTCACAACAGTCTGAGGCCACAGCGCCAGGCCAGCAGTCTGATGCCGGAAGTGGGCGGAGTAACAGTCTCATGTCGGAAGTAGGCGGAGTTTATGACAGAAACAATAATGGTGGATAAGAACACGGTTAAAAGGTATTTAATCTATCAAATTTATTTATTTTATGCCTTTAATCGTTTGTTAAGCAATTTATACAGAACATGTCTCCAGTCTATTTTTTGTAAATGTGCTGTGTTGATGAAGTGCGTTATCGCGTCTGTTTTTAGAACTTCATCGTCTCACTTTATGGATTGTTAACTTGGCTCTGTATTTTATTTCAGTGGTTACGTTTTCTGATGCTGACCAATGTTTTATGCAGATTTTTAAAATTTAAACAGGCATATTACGATTCAGAGACGCTCAGCTTTACTTGGAAAAAATTGTTGCAACAAATTCCACTGCCCACTGTTTTTAAAAGGACCAGACGGCACAGGTTGAATGCACACCTTCCAATTCACTTCAGAAAGGCAGATGTCCATAGAGGTATGAACTTTGTGAGTTATTTGATAATATACAGTGGCAATAAATGGTATTTAATAGCAGTCTTTTTGTAAATTGTAGTTTGCCTGCCCAATTTGGTAAAACACACAACCTAACAGCGATATGTATTAACAAATATGGATATTATGTTTGCAGTTCAAGGTTTGCTGTTCATTGATGTTCATTTGCGTAATATTCTGAATGTTTCTTTTAATATTATGAATTAAAAAAGTTGTTTTTGCATTGTCAGTGGTAATTTTTGCTTTCGAACAATGAAACTTAGCCATCTTATGCAATTTTTTTTATGGTTATAAACCATTAAAAAAATTCTGTTTGATTTTGTTGCAGTAAATTGACAAGCAGAATCATACCGATTTCCAATGGAAGCTGATTGAAAACAAGGTTAGTTTTGTAAGGCTTTCATATTCTACTTATACAGATGGTGTGATGTTATAGCTGTCATGTCTTTTCCAGAAATAACTGAATAATTTTCTTTTGTTTTAGAATGTCCACAACAGCTGGCCGGTTCTATTGATTGTGGGATCTTCATGTTGTTGGTAAGAAAAAGAAAGGGAAAGTCATTTTATGTAACGACTGCAAGTAAATAACTGTAATTGGGCATCTAAATAAAAATAATAATATGCTTTTTGTTTTCTGACTTGTAAAACAGTAAATTCGAAAATTCATAGATAATAATTATATTTTAGCATTAGAGTTACTACTGT